CTACAATGCTGGCTGTTCTGACTCACAGCCTGTAAGTACGTTTTCATATTTAAAGAATTTGCCACTGATGATTCAAACGCGAGTTATGAGCAGTGTAGAGTAGCGCTTGTTTGTCGTTTCTCCGATCACAAATGCAGACATGATTTTATGTTGACGCAGCGCGATACGCAACGCGTATAAAGACAGTATAAGTCATTATAATCCATAATTATGTCCCCACTGGATGCAACAAATGCCTCATTTATAATGGGTTTTAATGTTTTTGTCTCGTCGCACCGGGACACGCCATCACAGTATGGTAAGGGGCTTAACATTTCCGTCACACACTTGAGGTATTCGGCCAATCACAATGCACTGGATAGCTGGCCAATCAGAACACACCTCGCTTTTCAGACCGATGAGCTTTGTAAAAATCTACGTGTTTCAGAAAGGCAGGGCATAGAAGAGAAACAATAATGCACAGTATGTGGAACCGCATAAACACATTTCATTACACGAAATACACAAAATAATGTTCTTTTTAGCAACGTCATATGACCACTTTAAGGGATCGCCTGCAAACATGATGACTGTTCCAAAAGGTAGGCAGCAGAATACCTTTTTTTGTTGCATGTATCCTTCACTGAGAAGGTGATTCAAGAATGCATTGTGAAAAAAGAAAAACGTGGCAGACATTTGGTATTAAAAATTCATTAATACCAAACTTGCACTGCAAAGGTGGCACAGAAGTGCTTCTGAAGTGCCATTTAGGTGTCTTTAAACAGACTGTTTAATGTTGCTCAAAGGTGGCATTAATGGATTTACACAACAATTTTAACTGCATACTGTTATACTAGGGGCTGAGGAAGGTCAGAACAGGAATAATTTAGTCTGGTTTTCATGCTGCATTGCGTCTTTACTCAGATTTCCGAGCAGACTCAGAGCAGCTTTAACTTGGCTGTATAAAGATTCCTTTAAACTATTACTATTTAACTCAATATTTGTGTATTCTATTGCCAAATTTACACTGCAATAGTGGTACAGAAGTGGTACAACCTCTTCTGAGGCAGCATTTAGGTGTCTTGACACTGCTCAGAGGTGGCTTAAATTCATTTAAACAGCATTTACCACTGTATACTTTGATTCTAGGGGCTGAGGTTTGTCAGAGCTGGCATAATTTAGTCTGGCTTTGATGCGGCATTGTGTCTTTACACAAAATTTTGAGCAGGCACAGAGCAGCCTGTGTAAACACGCCTTATGATTTTTATGTTTATTAAGGCATTTTTACACAGCTGAGTTAAGGCTGCTCTGTGCCTGCTGAAAATTCTGTGTAAAGATGGAATGCCACATAAAATCCTGACTAAATGATGCCAGCTCTGACCCATCTCAGCCCCTAGTATCAAAGTATATTGTTGTCATTGCTGTGTAAATGCATTTATGCCACCTCTGAGCAGTCACCTGAATGCCACTTCAGAAGCGCTTTGTCATTATGCCAAATGTACACTGCAACGGTGGCACAGAAGCTCTTCTAAGGTGGCATTTAGGTGTCTTTAAACTGACTGTTTAATGCTGCTCAGAGGTGGCATGAATGCATTTACACAGCTACTATACAACTGTATGCTTTGATACTAGCGACTGAGGTGGGTCAGAGCAGGCTTAATTGAGTCTGGCTGTTATGCGACATTACACCTTTGCCCAGAATTTTGAGCAGGCACAGTGCAGCCTTAACTCAGCTGTGTAAAGATGCCTTCAGAGTATCATGTTGTTAGCCAAATTCTGTTGGATTGGAGGTGTGATTGGAATCAGTGGTTGTTAGGATAAATAGATCTGGGATGTTTAAAGGAGTCAAATAGAGGTAGGCTAGTGTTGTTTTTAAAAATCACCCCACGACAAGTGCAAGCCATCACTGAGAATTGTGAGAAAGAATGACTCTACTAGTAAAGGTCGTCATCCCAGCATTGTTCACACAGCTGTACTTCTTTAAAGACCACTGGCTTTTCCAGTAAAATGAGACTGACCTTTTAATGTTTGTTTTGGCTTTTTGAGCCTTTCTGGCTCTTAACCTTTGGGATGAATAAAATCAGTTTGTAATCTAATTGTAAAAACTGGCTGAAATCCCCAACACTGCATCTAAGCTGTGCATTGCAGGTAATGTGTCATAGTCACATGCCATGATGCATGAAAAATACACGCCGAATTAGCGTCTGTTTCTATTGACTGCTATACTTAGAGGCATCTGTATGATGAAAACAAGAATTTCATTGTATTCCGGTGAACTGTATCATTGATTACCTAAGAAATCACTTGATTTAACACTAAATGTTGCTTAATACAGGGGCTCAGTTGTGTATTCAACAGTATTGTTGTGTGAAATTATTCAATATTAAACCTCACTGGGCCTATTAACAAATGGGTTTTTAAAACAAAAGTAACAGAGGATCAATTATAAAGCCATTTCAATAATATAATTAGGACTTGGCAACTAAAGATAAATTTGTGTTACATCAGCACCCAGGAGGGAATATTTATGAGTCTACAATGACATTTGGTAAATAGGTATTATATAAATACATTTTAATGGATGTATTAAACCATTTAAAGGGGTGGTTGATCAGCTTTTTTCGAAGGCTTGATTGTGTTTATGGGGTGCAGTGTAACGTGTTCATGCTTCGTTTTTAAAAAAACACATTATTTTCACAAACACATACCTTTATTCTACATCACTGTTTCCATTCTCATCAAAACGGTCTGTTGAGTTCCTGGTTCTATGAAGCCCCTCCCTCAGAAACACGCAAGGGGCTCAGATTGGTTAGCTGGCCCAGTGTGTTGTGATTCGCTAACCGTCTAGTGCACGTTGTCTGGAATCGTCACGCCCCCTTCCCATTATGGGTAGTTGCATGTTCCTGGGGGCAGGGTTTATATAAACATCGGGGTTAGTGATGCCACAAACCTGGGAAGAAGATAGTTGTAGTCCCCTACCAGCCTTTTTTTTGTAGTCCTTAAACAGCGATTTCTCTCTTTGCATTGAATGCATTGCACTGTAATAGCAACATTACACACTAACTAAAGTTAAAAAGTGAAATCATAATCAACCACCCCTTTAAGGATTTTTTTTTTTTTACACCAAAAAGATCCACAACCAACTAATCAGAAACCACCTGCTGTCTGATATACTTAACCACAGTCAGTAGTACTTTATCTCACTTTATTATCTTGACCCCAATGCAGGTGGTATTTGCATAATAATTTACAACGTGATTGTTTAAATATGCTGTGTCATTTTCATGTGCAAATCATTTTTAAGACTTGAGGGCCAGCAAACATGATCGTCTGCCAGTTGAACTTATTTTGTTTAGATATGTGAAATGTTCAAAATTTGCTGTATGCAAGCCTCTCAAAATTCAAGATTCTCCTTTGAGATTCCTTCACATGTGGTACTCATTTAAATATGTTTCTGTTGTGTTTTTAATCCAGGGAAAAAGAAGTCCAAATTCCAGACGTTCAAGAATTTTTTTGTAAAGAAAAAGAGAAAGGAAAGTCCTGCACCTTCGAGTGAAAGTGGTTTGAAGGCCAGTCAATCGAGTGACGACGTCAACACCTCAGAGCCAACCATCAGCCACGCCAACAGTGATGACCACGGGTGAGGGAATACAGTTCAAATCAGCTTAACTTTTATTACTATACTGCATTTCTACTATATATCTATTTTCGTCTTTTTTTCCTGTTTTCTCATGTGCCAGTATTACACTTTGACAATTACATATGACATAAACTTCTCTCTCCTTCATTCAAAGATCCAAGATGAACTTGGGAAGCAAAGCCATGTCACATGATAGTGTCTTCGTGTCTGATTCGCTCTCATCAGAGACTAATGAGGGTCTGGGGGCGTCCCAGGACAGCAATCATGGGAAAGTGAAATCTCTACAGGTATTCCAGTCTGTTATGATTTATTCATATATTAATTATGTTTTATGCCCAGTGTAATATTCTGTAATAATAACACCACTGGTGATGTGTTCTGAATGCAATTTTGTGGTCATAGGGCAATTTTGTTTAATACTTAATATCATAAAAGCATATTTTGATTGTCCTGTCCTACTCTGAGAGGTCTTGACTTTCAAAACTGCATTGAACAAATTAAAGTAAATGTTTATTGCTAAAAAAAAATGACAAAATCTGTTATTCAGAGATATTCAAAATGTCCCCAGTTCCAAACCCCACACTGGGGAAAAAATAAATAAATAAAGGAAAAAGATGTGGCAACAAGTTTCCAGACAGATTGCATCAAATTACAGTAAATAACAACATTTTCACAAAATTACATGCAATATAATAATGCATTTATAAATAATTTAGATAATACATTTATAATTATTATTAATTATAATTATAATTATTTTATCATTTATTGTCACAATTAAATTACACTATTACTGTTGATAATTCCTCTAGCAATGGAAAAACAGATAATATATTTCAAAATACATTAAAAACGACTACCTTTCAGATTAATCTCTATAAATGTAGGGTTTTTATTAGTTACTTCATTCTCAGTCTGTCTACTGTAATTTACTTTAAAATATAATTTTGATGTATAATAACTAGTGCTGTCAAACGATTAATCGCGATTAATCACATCCAAAATAAAAGTTTTTGTTTATATAATATATGTGTGTGTACTGTGTATATTTATTATGTATATATAAATACTCACATGCAGTATATATTTAGAATTTTTTTACATGTATATGCATTTATATATTTATATTCTTATATTTTTTAAACATTTAATATATTAACATAACATATTTTTCTTAAATATATTCATGCATGTGTTTGTATTTATATATACTTAAAGGGGTCATATGATGTTGCTAAAAAGAACATTATTTTGTGTATTTGGTGTAATGAAATGTGTTTATGCGTTTTAAGGTTCAAAAAACACATTATTTTCCACAAAACAAATTGCCTTAAACAAATGTGAATATGATGTACAGTAAGTTTATAAATATTAAGTGTATTTACATGAACAATAATGTTTCAGTATTTAAAGTCGCCTCCGGATGCCCACAATGGCCTGCTTTCACAAATACGTTTGTCTCACTTTTGTCTTGCCATTGATTAAATGCTACTTAGCGTAGCCTTCTTGATGCGGTTAGCGTATTACCCGTAGACATACCAGATAGGCACTTTGTCACTGATCCAGACATGAGAGCAGCTCAGCAATGAAAGTTACCCGTCCATTAAGAGAGGAATCAGCCACTGTTTGAAAGAAGCAGATCACCTAAAAATATCTGAGACAAAGCAAGAATTTATCCGAGGTGTCTAAACGCATGGACTGGCTTTTAGTCTTGATTTAGAATTATTTTCCTTTTTATTAAAGTATAGTTAACTCAAAATGAAAATTCAGTCATCATACACTGCTATAAAAATTTGGGGGTCAGTGAGATTTTTTTTTTTTTAAGTTTTTGAAAGAAGTTTCTTATACTCACCAAGGTTGCATTTGTTTGATCAAAAAAACATTAATATTGTGATTTATTATTGCAATTTGAAATAACTGTTTTGTACTGTAATATATGCTCAATTGTAATTTATTCCTGTGAATCGAAGCTGAATTTTCAGCATCATTACTCCAGTCTTCAGTGTCACACGATCCTTCAGAAATCATTGTAATATGCTGATTTGCTGCTCAAGATTTACTACTTTTTAACAATTTAATGCATCCTTGCTACATAAAAGTGATCATTTCTTTTTTCTTAAGATCATACCGTGCCCAAACAGTAGTGTTTACTTAGTCTCATGTCAACACATTAATGTACACTATAGCAGGCAGTAGTAGTAGAGTGTGATTAATCTGTTTGAAGTTATTGATAATTTACGTTTCTGTCCTGTCTGTAGCTGCAGCTGAAGCAGGCGATTTGTCTGGGCTCTCCGCCATCACTCCTCTGCGGGAGGAAAGAAGAGGACGCAGGGGCTCTTTCTGAAGATGATGGTCTTCCCTGCAGCCCCCCGGAGTATTCCAGCCTCCACACTGTGCTGGCCACACCTCCTCACACAGTACGCCTCTCTACACTTTTCCTTTCACATCAGTTTAGGGTGCTTTCACACTTGGTTCGCTTGCCTGGTCCGAACCCGAGTTCGATTGCTCCCCCTGCCCCCTGCTGGACTGCGTTCATATTATTTTATTTTGGTCTGAACCGCGGTTCGTTTGCATCATCAAGCCAGCAGCTGTTTACCCCATTGCTTAGTAACGACGGCGCAGGAGAAGGCGGCAAATGCATAACATTGCTCTCTGCACTTTTATATATTTACGTTTTTGAACCGTTCGTTTTGTTTACAAAGCTTCGGTACATAACGGCACTTACGTCTGTCTTACGAATGTACTGCAAATGCTCTAAAGAACACTGAAGGAGAACAGAAATGAGATACAGCTCTCTGTTTGCAGCGCGTCAGTCATGCTCATCAGGAAAGTGAGTGAAACACACACACAAACACACATTTTTATCAAATAATACGTCATTAATAGCGGTTCACTTCTGTGATTTGGTACGATTGCGTTCACATCAGCAGCGAACCGTACCGGAATTCACAGGAACCGTACCCCAGACCACCCTATTTAAGCGGACTCGGGTACGTTTCGCGGGTGCGCACACGAGTTCGGAAGACCGCGTTCACATCATCCAAATGAACCGAACTCTGACGTCAATCGAACCCGGGTGCGCACCAAAAGTGCTAGTGTGAAAGCACCCTTAGACTCATGGATTTCTGTGGCACTGATATAGGCAAGGCAAGTTTATTTATATAGCACATTTCATACACAATGGTAATTCAAAGTGCTTTACATAAAAGGAATTCAAATAATCATAAAAAATAATCACAACAATAAAACAAGGAAATTAAAAACTTTTCAAATAATCTAAAATTGATTTAAAATGAATTAAAACAGTTAAGAAAAGAAAACCTTCGAAAATAATATAGCTTTGATTTGCAAAATGCACAGACCGCTGAAATGTGTCACACAAGCTTTTAAAATCAGACTGAAATGATCAGACACCTTGCTAAAAATAAACTTGAGTCATTCAGTTCTAATGTTGAGATCCTTCAGAAGGATCTGCAGAGTTGTAGGTGCTACACACAAACAGAAACAGCACTAGGTTTGACAGATTTAAGGCCTTTCCACACTGAGCGCGAAAAAGCGAAACGAATATCGGACGCGATGACGCGCTGGAATAAAACAATAGATTTCTACGGATGCTTCCACATAGACCGCGAACATTCGCATACCGAAAATGCAAATGTTTTTTTTTTCGAACCACTCCGACGAATCTTTTCAGTTTCACAAAGGGAAAACACGGGCCGTCCAATAAGATTTGAGCTAGGATCACATGACTGGAGCAGCTGCTGTTGCACAAAAGGCTGAGAGTGGTGGCGCTGTTTCGAAAACCAGTGAAAACAAACAACGAAGAAGAGTATCCCGGATAAGAGAAGAGAGTGGATGCTGAGTTCTTGTTATCGTTGGTATTTGAGAACAGATTTATTCTCACATGTTCTTTATACAGAATAACATTTCTATTAATTGTCCACTGAATTATGTGATCTGTAGAGCACCGTCCGTTTTCTTCCACGTGCGCGAATGTTACGAGTCAGAGCGGAGTTCACTCTTTTTCTACACATGAAATATGAAATCAAATAGACATGATTATGACGATATATTTTCTGTATGTGTTTTGTATGCATCTCACGATATTTTAATAGCAATGTTTATGACAAATATTAGCAGTGTAGCATTATTAAACATACAAAGAGTGCATGTGTCTGCTTACTAATCAAAATCAACTATAGATCACATTTGGAAGTTATTACAAGCACTCGATGATTGTTTAAAGTGGGTAAGCATGTACATTAATAATTACATGCATTTTCAAGTGTAGCTTGATGCTAATTGTACTTCTAATTATATTTTATAGGATGTAGCCTATTCTTGTAAGCATCATAGATAGTTTGTTTCTGGTGTAGAACCTTGTTTATCTTAATTTAATGCTGTATATTGAGCAGCGGATGATATTAAATCCGTTTATAACATACATATCTGAGGAAAAATGCATTGTTGGTCAGCGCCACCTAGCGTGCAGGCGTCAATTAGCAGAAAGCGAACAATCGGTTTATTTTTGGCTCTGTGAAAAGCGTGTAAGAGCCTCAGACATCACGGGGCATGATTGAAAAGACAGGAAGCTCCCTGCTGAGTTCTCTAACAGGATTAGGTGCCGTGCCGTTCCCCTCGCTGTACCTGCCTCCCCTCAGATCTCTCCAAAGATGTACACAGTCCCTGTCCTCATCTTCCCTGAACTTGAGCACAGCGAGACCAAAGATGCTATTTAATTTAGAAAATATCATATAGTGGCAGCGAGTTTTGAGATTTTAGTCCATTTTATCAAACAAGTGAAAATGTATTTTTGGCAATCATATAACTGTGATATGTACACTGTAAAAAAAAAAATCCGTAAAATTGACAGTAAAACAACGGCAGCTGTGGTTGCCAGAATTTTACCGTAAAACATACGGTAGCAACATTTTAGGTTTTACGGTTTTAACTTAAATTTAGAGTTAAATACCGTAATTTCATTAACCATGGTAACACACATGAAACTGAAATAATGCAATAAACATTCATTTAACAACATTAGGTGTAACACACAACCCTAATATACAAAACTGATAAGAAAAACAGTTATTATAAACAGTTATAGAAACAGTTATTTCAACAAAAAAACATCAAATTTGAAATGTAACGCAGGGAATTCTGGGAATGTCAATTTGCGGTTATTCACTGTAAATTATACGTCTTTTTCACTTCCAAAAATGGTAAACTACCGTGAAATTACATGTAATGTCCAATACAGTTTTTTACCGTATATAGTAGGGGAATTTACCGTTAACCATTTAACAGGTTTTTACTGTAGCATTTTTACAGTCTTTTACCGTTAAATTCACGGTCATTTTTTACAGTGTGTATATATATATATATATATAAAATTCTTGTAATCGGTAAGGTAAAATGATTTTGTTGATTTGGGGGTCATTTATGATGGAAAGCATGTTTTATGTCATGCATTTAAACAGGAAATGATTGCAATATGTCTTTTTACCGTTACAGTCGGTGGATTTGACCCAGAGTTCCTTGAGCATGGAGGCTTCAGACAGTGAAGATGATCAGGTGAAGCAAGCACACATAAATCACATAGCACATAATCAGAAATGCCTGAATGGTCTGTGAAAGGCTTGTGTCAAAGGGATAATTCACCCAAAAAATGAAAATTCTGTCATTATTTACTCACCCTCATGTCTTTCCAAATTTGTATGACTTTCGTTTATCTTTAAAACACAAAAGAAGATATTTTAAATTTAACCTGAGAGATTTCTATCTTAAAATAGTAAACAGAATTGTAAACATTAAGCGTACTTACTTGACATGCAAGAATAAAACTGAAAACCTGTAACCTTGTAAATCATCAAAACTATATAACGCAATCATTTCTCTTCAGAAGACTTGGATTAAACAGCTTGATTCATATTGATTGCTTTTACAATGTCTTTATGAACTTTTTTAATCAAGAAAGTTTTGGATGAATGCAGTTTCAGTTGAGGAACAGAATCTCTCAGGTTTCATTAAAAATATCTTCATTTGTGTTCCAAGATGAACGAAACATATGGGTTTGAAATACCATGAGGGTGAGTGAATGATGAAAGAATGTACATTTTTTGGTGAACTGTCCCTTTAAGAGTAAGCACAAACATGCTTTGAATGGTGATGCAATGCATTTAAATTGTTTGTAGGTATTTAGTGATCCAACTAAGCACACTAACACGGTGTTTCCCAACCCTGTTCCTGGAGGCACATCAACAGTACACATTTTCAAACTCTTCCTAATCAAACACACCTGAATCAACTCATCAGCTGGTTTGTAGAGACGGGTCAAATAAGGAAGACATCCAGCATTAGAAACAAACTTTTGTTTGTAGCTTGTCGTGTAGCTAACTACTCTTTCAAATCAGTAGCTTGACTGTAGTTTAAATATTTTTGAATAGCCTGTAGCTGACGTTTCTGATAAATGGTGTAGAATTATTTGTTTGCGGCTATAACTTAATATTCATACATTTAAATGTCTCCAATTAATGTTTTGATCATTTGATCAAATGATCATTTGAATCGAGCACCTCTGGGTGTGGAATCAGACTAGTAACAAGTTTGGAATGTTCCATTAAGGCCAATGCTGAGAGATTCATATTAAGAGTGTGCTTATCTGCTGTTGTTTTGGCTTGTTTGAATCATGTAGAACTTGTTCAGCTAAGTGTTGTGTTATCAGCGGTATTGAGAGATACTGACATGTATTCAGAACCAGTACTTTCACAGTCAAAGGCAGTTTGAAACACAGACATTAGACAGCAGGTCACTGCTTGTATCTATTAGAAAGTTACATTTGAATACAAGTGTTCAGTCTGTGCATTGAAAGGGCATTTCTATGCACGCATCTCACGCACAACACCAGCGCCTATCCGAAACTGCTCCAAAACAATCTCAAACCACTGAAAAGCATGCACTTTTGGACTTGTATTGTTGCCAGGGCTTAAAATAGCTCTCATGTGTTTGTGTTATGCAATGCTTTGAGCTGGACCAGAGGCTGTTTTGAGCAATTGGGTTTTGGTGAGAAATGTAATACTGTTGGATATTTTAAATGGGGATTCATTTTTGTTATATGTTGTGCACTACTGTTCAAAAGTGTGAGTTCAGTAATGTTTTTTAATGCCTCTTATACTCACCATGTCTGCATTAATTTGATCAAAAATACAGTAAACGGTTATATTGTGAAATATTATTAAAATAACCTTTTTTTAAATAACTTATTTTAAAATTTAATTTATTCCTGTTATCAAAGCTGTATTTTCAGCATCATTACTCCAGTCTTCAGTGTCACATGATCCTTCAGAAATCATTCTAATATGCTGAAGAAACGTATATGCTGCTCAAGAAACATTATTGCTTATTATTACCAGAGTTGAAAACATTAGGCTGCTGCTTAATATATTTATGAAAACCATGATACATTTTTGGCAGGATTCCTTAATGAATAAAAAGTTCAAAAGAACAACATTTATTTGAATTAGAAATCTTTTGTAACATTATAAATGTCTTTACTGTCACTTTTGATGCATGAATTTAATGCATCCTTGCTAAATATAAGTATTAATTTCTTTAAAAAAAAAAATACCTGAGCACAAACTTTTAAACAGTAGTGTAATGAGTGCGGTGCACAAATACTATTGATTGAATGGCTTTGGAGTGATCAAATGGAAAAGGAAGCAAGTAATAGATGAAACCGCAGAAAAAAAAATGGATAAAATTGTAAAAACAAGTGTTTACATTTTATACATTTTTCTAAATTTTCCATATTAAAGTTGATGTATTTATTGGCACCCTGCTGTCTAGACATCATATCAGTAATGGCCATTAAAACCCATATTAGTTAATCACTAGTGACATTTGACTGGTGTTGAATGCTGGCTGTCCTTGACTGCAGGGGTTACGAGTGAAGTAGGCGTGTGGTCTGAAAAGCATTCCAGCGGTTCACCCTCGCAGTCTGTCTGCTGGAAATGGGATATTCCAGCAATCTGGGTCAAAACGGCTGCCAAGCTGGACCTGAGCACAGCACAAACACACGGCTGGCTCACTCACTCATTCACACTAGTTCCTGACGTACTGTGCCATTAAAAGCATGCTAATTTTTTTTTTTTCTTTTTTTTTTTCAAAATTGAATTAATTCTCTCCTTTTTATGAAAACACGTTTCTTACACTAAATAAAAAAATATAAAAGGTAATTGTGACTTTTTCTGACTTTTCTTATACCTCGCAATTCTGACTTTATATCTTGCGATTGACTATTTTTCTCAGAATTGCAATAAAATATAAACTTGCATTTCTGAGAAAAAAAACTCAATATTGATTTATGTTGCTGCAAAATTGTTTAGAATTTAAGTGTGAAAACCTTCCTTCAAATGAAGAATTATTTAAATAATAATAGTTTTAAATGCAAGCAGCCTTCAAATATCAAGACTTGGTATTAGTGATGCAGATCTGAGTCTCCAAAGGAAAAAAAAACTGTGCTTATACAGCCGTAAGGACAAGCAAACGCAAACATTGGCAACATAACCTTCAGCTGTTTCTGCTGGAGAGGCTTTTGTTTGTGTTTCATTCTGAAAGGAAATAGCTGAGGACAATCATAATAATTGGTCACGATGAGTCAGTGGTGGTGAAGGTGGCCGAGTGTCTTTTTTTTTTTTATGGTTCATGCTGTATGCATGAGTGACCACGAACAAGAATTTATTCTGATGCCACTCTGGTTTTCTGGTGGTTAAGGGATGGAAGGAAATGCTTTGAATACAACCGTCTATTTGAAACCGTAACCCCAAATATGGATGTTTTGGTGGGGAAGTAGCTTGAAAGAATTTTAAGATTTCATATTAAAGCTGTAAACAAATTACGCATCTTATTGAACTGATGTAGACTTACTAACATCTGTCTTCCTTGTCCCCCTCCATCCTATAAAGATATATTATGAAGCTTCTTCGAGACCCGGCACACCTCAGGGCTCCGTCCCCGTAGACTTCAGTTTGCCCGCCAGCTCCGTCTCCTGCTTAGACAGCTCAGCTGCCCGTCACCGCATCGCTGTCAAAGCCAACGCTTGTGTCAAGAGAAAGCCTGCCAGCGTAAGATTCTTCACATTAACCATTCATATGCTTCAATTATCCATGGTGTCTTATCATATCAGGGCAACAAGCTGTTTAGTGATGTTTTATTCTCGTTTAAGTTGTCTTTTTGAGCGATACAGGAGCGATGCTGGAAAAAACTTCATCTGTTTGTTTTAGCGGTTGAACGGCGGTTGAATGTGTGCTTATTCATGTTTAGAAGCAAATGTTGGACAAGAGAAGGGACCTGAGAGAAAGAGTGCTACTCAGAGACAAAGAGGACAAAATGCGGATGATGGTCACAAGTATTGGAGAAGAACAGAAAAGTATGTCTGTATATACACTACAAAAGTGTTAATTGCAATTGTCACCTAAAAGAGCTATTTCTACCTGATTTAATCTATAAAATTAGTTTTGCTGACTTTGATAAAAACCAGTTACCACACACATGCACACTATGTGTTTGGGGTCAGTAAGGTTTTTTTTTATTTTTTTTATTTATTTTTTTTGAAGAAAAATATTTTTATTCAGCAAGTATGCATTAAACTGACCAAAAGTATCAGTAAAATAATTTGTTACAAAATATATTTTAAATAAATGCTGTTCTCTTGAACTTTCTATTCTTCAAAGAATCCTGGAAAAAAAAATGTACCACCGTTTCCACAAAAATATGAAGCAGCACAACTGTTTTCAACATTGATAATAAGAAATGTTTCTCGAGCAGCAAATCAGCACATGAGAATGATTTCTGAAGGATCATGTGACACTGAAGACTGGAGTAATGATGCTTAAAATTCAGATTTACATCACAGGAATAAATTATATTTTAAAATTTTTACAAATAGAAAACAGTTATTTTCAATTGTAATATTATTTCAAATTTTTAATGTTTTTACTGTGTTTTTTATTAAATATGATCACAGAAATAAATTACATTTTAAAATGTATTCAAATAGAAAACAGTCATTTTAAATTGTAATAATATTTCACTTTTTTTATTGTTTTAACTTGTGTATTTGATCAAATAAATGCAGCCTTGGTGAGCAGAAGAGACTTCTTTCAAAAACATTTAAAAATCTTACCAACCCCAAACTTTTCAATTGTAAAGTAATTCAATAATTGTTGTTAGTAGTTCAATAATAGTTTTTCTATTGTTCAATTTGGTCTAGATTTGTCCAGAGAACGGGTGAATGATTCAGACGGTGAATCATTTGCTTCTGAAGAAGAGGAAGTGACTTCTCCAACATCCTCCATCTCAGCCGGAGACGTCTCTGAAGGAGAGGAACATGTTCCTGCTGAGGATCACGTCCCCAAGTCTGAGGTCCCAGAATCCTCTTGGGAGCGTCCAGTAACACTCGAGCTGCAGGCCGATGACTTCCTGTTGGACACAGGATGTGAGGTCATTCCTGAGGAGCAGGGGTCACTGCTGGAGGAAGTGTTGAGCTCCCTGAAGAGCCCTCTTGCATCAGGACTAGCACTGGAGCATGAGAATATGCTTCTTCAGAGTGAGGTACAGCACATTCAGTGGCATTTTCAAGAAGATTGCAACAATGAGACATTGCATCTGCAACTTACTGGCATAATGGTTAAATAAGGGTGTCTGAGACAAAGAAATAAAAAGTGCAAAGCTCATAGAAATGTACTGTTTGCATTCATGTTAGTTTTGAAAACTTTTGTATGATTTTCATTCAAAGTTTAAATATAATGACTCTAAAATAGTAATGTGGTGTAATGAAGTTTTTCTTATACCTTAAATACATGTACATATCTTAATACTTATTTTCAAATGATTGAAAAATACACTTCAAATGAGTTTTTAAATAGAAATAAGTAAATAGTATTTTTTTTTACAAATATCATAAATTATTTATTCAAAAATATCATTCCGTTTTTTGTTGTTGTTGTTTGTTTTTTATAAATTTTACAACCCAAACTAACTTCTAACTAACTAACTAAGTAACAGTCATGAGGGTCTAAAGGGGTTGTCTCTATGATATAATTTATATATATATATATATATATATACAGTATATTTACATATCATTTATATATATAATTTATATACATCATTTTGATTTGGCCAACAAATATTTTTCAAATGTTTATTATATTTTAACTTGCGTTTCTAAAAAGTTTTATTTCTTACTAAAATAAAATGAAATGTAAAAAAAAAATTATTTTGTCTTTTATTAAATGTTTATTTATTATAGATTTTGATTTAATATTATTAAATATATAATATTATATTCTGTATAAATTAATATAATATTCTTAATAATAAAGGAATATGTCAAACTACTCAACTAAAATTTTATATTTTTATTTAGGCAGTTGTTTCATGCAAGGTTTTTTTTTTTTTTTTTTACTTTATGCCTCCAAAAATAAGAAAATTTAATGAATATTATTTCAGAAATTGTATGTTTATGTCACTGATGTATGAATTGTATTTTTGATACATTAGAAATGGCATTATGCCATTGATCTACAGTACAAATTAATTTAATTTGAACTATTTGTGCTTCCTTTTTGTAGGTGGAATTCATAAACAGTGAGAGCGTGGTTTCTCGGCTTGAGGAAGGCAACAAAGATCTTCTCGATTCCTCAGAGCCTATGGTGACCACAAAGGAGCAGGTTCCTCTACCAGACTCGCTTTCAGAGTCATCTGTAGATTCAGAAGAGATCTCCGAGGATACCACAGAGGAAGAGGAGCTGCTGGAGGTGCCAGAGTCTGCTGATGCAGGTCACCAAGTGCCTGAAGCTGATGACGAGAAACAAGCAGAAAAGGCTGAAAGTGCCGAAGAGGACGAAGAGTTATTAGAATCGCCAAAAGCTTTTGCAGTAAATGTGACCGAGCAAGATGAAGATGCTGTTGAGGATGAAGCTGAAATGGAGACAGAAACCAAAGACGCTGGAGATGAAGATGATGAATTGCCGGTGGTGGAACCTGAGCAAAGGGAGGACTCTACTTATGATGTTGAACGTCAAGAGGTCGGAGGTCAGACAGGTTCTCTAGAGCCTGAGAAAGATGAGACTTCAGGTGACCAAAGAGAATCATCTGCAGTCAATGTGGAGAACATTCCTGAATCTGATCCGACAGTCAGAGATGATGTCTGGAGCTCATCAGAGACCAGTGATGAGCCTGAAGCCTCTGAAGCTCCACCAGAGACGCCTGTCGAGGTCCTTCTTTCTACTGTGGCTCCTGTGCTAGAGAGTCCAGTTCTCCATTCTCAGTTGTCTCCTGTAGATCAAGAAGAGCAACCTGAGCCCAACAAGCTGGATGTGTCTGGTGAGCCTCAGAAAGTGTCTTCAGAAAAACTTGAGGTTGTTTCTGAGCAGCAAGATCAGCAAGTTTTTGAGTCGCCTACAAGAGAACTGACGGGAATCGCTGAGGTTCGACCTCGGTTCACCATCACCCCTGCGTGGCAAAGGTCATTGGCTTCTGGAGGCGCCCAAGAGCAGTCCCAGACCATCTCAGCGGTGCCACCAGAGACTAATGCTTCTGATGAATCTCCCCAAACAGCTGAACTCATTACTCCTGTAAAAGAAGCAGCCCGAACTCAGAGTTCCCCAACACTTCCTGTGAGGAAAGAGACGCCCCATGCTCAAGAAGAGACGACCCTAGAGACCCCGTTTGGAGTGCGTTTGAGAAAGACTCCAGTCCTGCACCGCTATGGTTTAGATGGAGAATCGCCTTGGAGCCCCGCGCAAACAGAGTCTTCAGGGGCGCAGGAGACCCTGGACCATGACCAGAGTGGCAGGAAGCCCATCCCACCAAAGAAGCCCGATCTGCTAGTTGACACTGTGATGTCGGCCAGAAAAATCCCAGGTTACCTCCATTCTTAAAAAGCTGATTTTGTGTGTATACATATGCAAACAAATAAATACATTTGTAAAAAATATTTAAAATTTGTAATCAGTATTTTGTCTTGTTTTCCAGTAAAGATATTTAAAATCCTCAAAACAGTTGCAAAATTAAATAAAATATTTTTTCTTATAATTTATTAATTATTTCCCTTACTAAATTAAAGTTAAATGTAAAGTCATTTAAAAAAGTCTTATGTTAATTTTTATTATGCTATACTATTACTATAAGTTAAATTATTTTATTACAAATTTAATTAAAATTATTATCATCAAAATATAGATTTAAAAAATAATTTTGCTTCTGGTGTTAATTTATCTTATAGAGAATGGTTAGAATATTTTTACTGTAAAACAGGACAAAATACTAATTATTTTAATCATTTAAAATGTAGTTTCATTATAATAATTATTCAATTTAATTAATATTTGTTATTGAATAATTATATATTTTGCAATATAAAATAGGACAATTGCAATACCTATACTGCTTAATAGTGCATTCAGTTTAGTGTTCTTTTGGTATTTATTTGTAGGCATAAATTTAAATAATCACAATTTATGTGATTATGACAACTTAAAATGGAATTTGCAATGCATTTAACTTGCATAATGTGACATTACAGAGCAAAACAGAATATTTAGACGGAATACTGTAAATAATACATGGCACGGCTTTATTTCATTGATCAGCTTTTGATTGGATCTTGAAAAGTGAGTTATATTATTGTTTTGCATAGTTTTTTATTCTTCTGTGTTATGTCTGCAAAAAAAAGTATCATAAAAATAATATGATGCATATTTTTTGTCCTATTTCAGATACAGGGGGAAGAATATCTGTTGGTAGCAGCGAGTCTCCAAGCTGGATCTCTGTGGCCAGACAGAAGCAGAGGAACTTCATCGAGAACTCGCCAGAAAACTCTCCAGAGAAACTTCCCTCGCAGGTTTGTGCTGTTCCTTTATATACTGAACAAATATGTCATGTCAAATCTTGCCCAGTTCTCAAGGAAGTGTCTGAAAACTGTGTCTTAGCATCATGAAACAACAGGACAATCAGGTTCACACATGCATCCTACTTCCATGCTGCAGCTTGGGAAAATGCAGTGTTCTGCAAAGATTCCATGAGGTGAAATGAAACGAACACTAAACCAAGTGAGGTTTTATTTCAGGATGCTGACTCATTTTTTGTGGTAATTTGTATTAGCCGATGCTAAAAAAATGCTTTAGTCCTTCATGGATCTTTTGTGTTCTTCTCTCAAATATTGTTTATTTTTCCTCATTTTTAAAAATGTGTCCACTTGTTCTCAGGGGGACGTCAAAAGACAGGATTCACCGGACACTTTATCAAATCCAATCGCCAAAGAGCAACTGACACAGCCATGTTCACCTTTACAAGGTAATAATCTTTCCATTAGGATCATTCACTGTCATGGCCTTACATAGCAAAGCTTTTATGGATTTAGGTTTGTTCTGTTTGGTCTAAAAAGTGCAATGACCTGCAAAGTCCGAAAATACGGTTTTAATCTCTTAATAGCACGAGGTTATGTTTTAAAGGGATACTCCACCCCAAAACGAAAATTTAGTCATTAATCACTTACCCCTATGTCGTTCCAAACCCGTAAAAGCTTCGTTCGTCTTCGGAACACAATTTAATATATTTTGGATGAAAACCGCGAGGCTTGTGACTGTCCTATTGACTGCCAAGTAACTTACACGGTCAAGCTCCAGAAAAGTATGAAAGACATCGTCAGAATAGTCCATCTGCCATCAGTGGTTCAACCGTAATGCTATGAAGCGACGAGAATACTTTTTGTACGCGAAGAAAACAAAAATAACGACTTTATTCAACAATTCGTCTCCTCTATGTCTGGCAGCCTAAGGCAGCTTACGCTCTTCTGTGTCAGCCGCGCCACAAGGATACGTTTTCTACGTGTATTTATGCTTTGATTTGAACGAAAACAGCGCATCCTTGTGGTCGTTATTTTAGTTTTCTTCGCGTACAAAAAGTATTCTCGTCGCTTCATAACGTTACAGTTGAACCACTGATGGCAGATGGACTATTCTGACGATTTCATACTTTTCTGGAGCCTGACAGTGTAAGTTACTTGGCAGTAAATGGGAGAGTCACAAGCCTCGCGGTTTTCATCCAAAATATCTTAAATTGTGTTCCGAAGACGAACGAAGCTTTTACGGGTTTGGAACGACATGGGGGTAAGTGATTAATGACTACATTTTCATTTTGGGGTGGAGTATCCCTTTAAGTGCAGATTGAAAAGGAAATCAATGTCTGCCCCCTAGCGGATATGTATTGTAACTGTCTAAATTTCCTATATAATTCAATATAAATACTACAATCATACAGTACTTTTTCTTACTTTCACACTGCCAGCCAAAAGTTTGCCAGAAATTTAATGCATCCTTTCTGAATTAAAGTATTCATTTCTTCTTTTTTTTTTATTGGACTTTCTCCAAACCTTTGAATAGTAGTGTATCAACGTTTCCACAAAAATATTAGGCTGCACAACTGGCTTTAACATTGATAATAATAAGAAATATTTCTTGATCATTTAGCATATTAGAATGATTTCTGAAGGATCATGTGACACTGAAGACTGGAGTAATGATGCTGAACATTCAACTTTGATCACAGGAATAAATTACATTGTAAAATTTGTTAAAATAGAAAGCAGTTATTTTAAATTGTAATAATATTTCACAATATTACTGTTCCTACTGTATTTTTGATCAAATAAATGCAGCCTTGGGGAGCATAAGAGACTTCTTTCAAAAAAACAATGTTTTTTTTAATTTTGGCTGGCAGTGTGTGTGTCAGATCTATTTAATTGCATAAATGTATTATGTAATAGACTAAAGGAATAAACTATAAATGAAGATGAATATATAAGCTGTTTTCCATTGGTTTTGAATGAACAGTGTTCTGCTCCCTTGAACTGAACAACACATCCACATTAGAGAAGGAAAGTAAGAGAAGCGCTAACCCGTCCGCTGAACCTTTGGCCCAAGATGAGCCTCCCTGGCTGGCTCTCGCTAAGAAGAAGGCCAAAGCATGGAGTGAAATGCCCCAAATTGTTCAGTGAAAAGCCCAGCTGGCAAATGGACTTCATAATTCTCCTCTATATTTTACATACACATGAACAAAACTTTGCTTAATCAGCCCGGTGTCATTTATGTTTTTTGACGTCGTAAAGCAGACGGATGCACAGTAGACTGGGGCTTATGGGTATTACGTTGCATTTGTAATTTGGTTTGCAACAAAAGACATTTACATTAGTTCAAACAGACTGTCACAGGTCAGAGTTCAGAATGCTTCAAACTGAGGAAAACAATCCTAACAGGTTTTGCATACAAAAAAAAACATTCCAAAAATTTGAAAATGATGAGCCGCCATCAAAGCTTTATTTAGTGTTTTTATTTAGGACTGTGTGGAGACCGTCACTGCTCTTTATTAAGTAACTTTGCTATGTTCTGTTATAGCCTTGAAAGTTAGTAACACAGTTATCATGAATGGAGCTGAAGGTGTCTTTGTATTTATTTATCTCACTCTTGTATGTTTTATGTATTTTTGTATTTACGTGCACACGTTTTGTGACTTGTACATAAAAAATAAAAATAAATCAAGAAAAATATTAAAATGGAGCCATGTTTATTTGATCCAGCCACTGACACAGATGTCAGATTTCCTTCCTTTATATTCATTTTTCATTCATTTATGTTTCTTCAGGATTGTTGTATGGTTTATCATCAAATATTTGATCCAGGTAGTATTTAATGCATATAATTGTCATTCTAAAAGCATAAAGTGTGAGCAAAAGATAACATTAAACCATCCAGTATTTTTTAAAATATGTAAAACCCAACATGTGCCGAGACAATAAAAATACAAACATTATTTAACAGATTATTAGTTCATGTTCATTCACTTAATGTTTTGACATTTCGAATCATTTGAATGAACAATAATGCTTATACATTATTAGGAATGGTTCAGAACAGATTTGGAGAAATTTTGCATTGCATCACTTGTTCACCAGTGGATCCTCTGCAGTGAATGGGTGCCGTCAGAAAGCTGTGTTTGTAAGAAGTGACCTTAGGTTGAGTAAATTTTCACTTTTGGGTGAATTATTCCTTTAATAAAACAATGTATTTTAAATGTTGTTGACAAAAGTTCTTTACACTTATTAAAGGGGATAGTTCACCCAAAAATGAAAATTTGATGTTTATCTGCTTACCCCCAGGGCATCCAAGATGTAGGTGACTTTGTTTCTTCAGTAGAACACGAACGGAGATTTTTAACACAAACCGTTGCAGTCTGTCAGTCATATAATGGAAGTGGATGGCAATCATGGCTTTGAGAGTCAAAAAAACATACACAAACAAAACCAAATTAAACCCTGCGGCTCGTGACGATACATTGATGTGTAAAGACACGAAACGATCGGTCTGTGCAAGAAACTGAACAGTATTTATATCGTTTTTTACCTCTGATTCACGCAATGTCCGAACTGTTCAAACTGTCCTGAGCGCGTTTGCGTCTTCTTCTTCAGCCGGCGGGTGACGCGTCTTCTTCTTCAGCCGGTGCGTGACACGTCGTCTTCTTCTTCTTGCTTTACGGTGGATCGCAGACTTCGCAGTGCATTACCGCCACCTATCTCTCAAATGGACCATTGACACTCCTAATTGAGATTGTAGATAGAGTGTCAATGGTCCATTTGAGAGATAGGTGGCGGTAATGCACTTATAAGTCTGCGATCCGCTGTAAAGCAAGAAGAAGACGCGTCACTCAGGACAGTTCGAACAGTTCGGACATTGCGTGAATCAGAGGTAAAAAAACGATATAAATCGTTTCGTGTCTTTACACATCAATGTATCGTCACGAGCCGCAGGGTTTAATTTGGTTTTGTTTGTGTATGTTTTTTTGACTCTCAAAGCCGTGATTGCCATCCACTTCCATTATATGACTGACAGACTGCAACGGTTTGAGTTAAAAATCTTCGTTTGTGTTCTACTGAAGAAACAAAGTCACCTACATCTTGGATGCCCTGGGAGTAAGCAGATAAACATCACATTTTCATTTTTGGGTGAACTATCCCTTTAATGTTACACTTGTTTAATAAGGTGGCAAATTATAATACCTACAAGGTGATATTGGGGGAAAATCTGTTTATTTAATTCATAAATTCTCATTTTTATTCTCACTTTTACACATGCTATCCTGTTGAGTCTGCGCTATAATAAAATGTTTAGGGTGCTAAACATTAATAAGCATTAACAAACCTTTCTTATTATATTCCTGTTTCAGTATAGCTCAAATGAAGCTATAATACTGTACAGACAGTAACCTGAGAAGCGAGATTGGACAGAGTGGAGAAAAGTGCAGGGAAGGTGAATGTAGGAAACAAGTTATGGCTATGCAAGTGAAGAGAGATTTAAGGAAGAAGGTGTGGATAGAGATCACTAGTACAAAATATATAGGCAAAGCCAGCTTGTTCTAATGTCCAGAATCATGATGAGCACTGATTTTACTGACCATTGAATGAGAAATGAATACAAGAACAGGTGAAATTATGTATTTTATCATCTCTCTACTAACAATTATATATGTGTAAAGTGCTCAGAGGTTACAACTGTATTCGTCATGCCACCTGTAATAGCCTACATATGTATACGTATAGGCCTAAATTTGAATGAAATTAAAAAGAAAATATTACACTAAGCCAAAGAATAGCATTCTATAAACTATATATATGTATATATATATATATGAATTAAAAACATACAACTGTCTAAAACAAGAGGCTGCTCTCACAATCAGGTTTTCTTTTTCTTTTCTTTTTTTGCTAGGACCCATTTCTCAACACTTACGTCACTTTTTCAGAACTTCACACAGTGGAATGTTTCAAGCACGGCCAAAACATGTACCCACCTACAGGCCAGTTTGCATGTTCTCATTCTCAAACTGCATAATTCAAAACTGAGTAAGAGAGTAATTTGCAATCTTTCTACAGTAAAACCCCACTGAAATACATTCTAAACCTAAAACATGAAATACTATCATAGATGTAGCTGAACACCTAGGCTATAATCAATTTCATTGCCATCTACACAAAAGGCGAAACTTAGGAATACTGCAATGTAAACATGGACCAAGTAACATATACTTAAGTGAATTCTCATCAGTAGAGTGGTCTCATTCTTGTTTTGTAAAGAAATTTTGCAAAAGAAAACACTGTAATGCTACCTGTTGTTGGTATTAGGTCATTATATTTTATGTTGGGAGACAAGCTTTGCTAGTGTTATGGAAGAATGACTTGATTTGAGACTTGTATGAAGTGTTTTGGTAGTTTTAGTGCGTTCTGAACGTGAAATTATCTTCTGTGCCAAGCTGAAAGTTAGGAGAAATGTTGAAAACGTGACTTGTATTGAGAAATGAGTGCTAGCAATTGTAAACTATGTCAGAGTAGCACCATCTACTGGATCATTAGATACTCACAATGACAAAACTCACAAACACGGTGCAGTTTATACATTTGAAAGCTCCTTGCCTCTCTGTATTAGAAGTGTATTTCCCTTGTTATTAAGTCAGCATGCTCGTTGCTGCTTTAAGTACTCTACACTACTTCACTACTTGCTTTAAGTAAAATAAATGAGTCACTCTCTCTCACCTCTTTTACATCAGTAGATTTCCACGACAATAACAGACTTCATACATCCACTAAAATCACTTTGGCACCAGATGGTTAATGACAAAATGGCTCAGAAGGGTTAGTAGACGATGTATTTCCGACACTCTGTTTTATGATATGAAATGTGTATTTATCCAAATACTTTTTGGAGCTGCTGCCCTGTTGAAAAAAACAGCATATGCTGGTTAGGTATGTTTTGACGCTGGGATGCTGGTTTAAGCTGGTCCTTTGCTGGTTTATGCTGGTCCTTTGCTGGTTTAAACTGGTCCTTTGCTGGTTTATGCTGGTCCTTTTGCTGGTTTATGCTGGTTTGAGCTGGTCCTTTGCTGGTTTAAACTGGTCCTTTGCTGGTTTATGCTGGTCCTTTTGCTGGTTTATGCTGGTTTGAGCTGGTCCTTTGCTGGTTTAAACTGGTCCTTTGCTGGTTTATGCTGGTCCTTTTGCTGGTTTATGCTGGTTTGAGCTGGTCCTTTGCTGGTTTAAACTGGTCCTTTGCTGGTTTATGCTGGTCCTTTTGCTGGTTTATGCTGGTTTGAGCTGGTCCTTTGCTGGTTTAAACTGGTCCTTTGCTGGTTTATGCTGGTCCTTTTGCTGGTTTATGCTGGTTTGAGCTGGTCCTTTGCTGGTTTAAACTGGTCCTTTGCTGGTTTATGCTGGTCCTTTTGCTGGTTTATGCTGGTCCTTTGCCAGCACATGATATGCAGCACATGCCAGCATATGCTGTTTTTTTCAACAGGGTGTATAAAGATTGCATAAATGGACAAAAAAAAATGCTATCATAGCCAACCCATAGCCTTGGGCAAATATTAGCATGATTTATTCAGATCAGCATGATCTGCCCATTTGAAAAATGTAAACTTTATCATACTTATGAAATAAGACTTAAGAAAATAATGTACTTAGGCCTATATTAATATAATAATGTCAACAACAAAAAAAAAAAAACAGAAATAAAGAATAAGCAATAGGGAAATATGATCACATACTTAAAAGATTGTTAGAAACATTAAGTCTGAATTATCTGGCGAAAACCAGCTAATGAATTTTTAAAGTCAAGATCACACAAGTGTTTTATTGAGTGTCTACAGTTGTCGTGTATCACATAGTAATAATAACAAAAAATAATATAAGTATACAATAATATTATACATTTTTATTATATTATACAGAAAGAGTTATAAATAAAACAGGTGAAAAAAAATATAGAAGTATAATAATTATATGAGAATTAGAAACAATTAGAAACCATAGTTTTAGAAAAAAGTATGTAGTGACATACTGCAGGACACTGCTTTATTAAATAATAATCATAATAATAAAAAAAACTATAATTATATTTTAATAGACTACATTTCCTGGACATATACCTTTGGTAAGAAGTTGGGGGAAGGAGGACTCGGCTCCGTCTTTGAAGGGACCCGCTGTGAGGACGGCCTTCAGGTGGCTGTGAAATTCAAGACAGACAACGAGTCGTACCTCAGCCTTGTAAGTAGACTGTGCTCTCTGTGTCATCTCCTCTCAGTCACTGTTAGCAATTTATAACATCTTAGATTCATGTAAAACACAGAGTACAGATATTTCAGTAGACAAACAGACTGAGCTAAATCCTTATTTGAGAAACCACTTCCATCTGACTATCATAAAAATCAGTCTTTCTTCTAGCCTGACCGTCCCAGTCCGGTTCCTCTAGAGGTGGCTCTGACAGTCATGGCCAATCAAGGCCGCCGCTGTCGCCACATCATAGAGCTGCTGGACGGGAAGCAGGCAACAGTGTGGTAGCTGGGAGTGCTGCTGTTTAGCATGATCACCAGCTGTTATCCATACAGCAGCGATATAAAATTAATGGACGCTGATGTCTGGATCGAGCTGGGCTTCTCAGATGGTAAGAAATTCATTACAACAAAGAAGAACAATTGTAATTATTAATCTTAATCATGCGAAACAGAGAAAAAAGCAGCTTTATAAATAATGGCCTTATGGATAATGCAGGAATCTCTCACAGTTTAGAGAGCAGGTGTGAATTTGATGGAAATAATCAGATATTTCTCGAATTTTTCTGCACAGAATGCTGCCGTTTTATTCGCAGTTGCTTGAAGAGCGACCCGGAGCAGAGAGTTCATCTGGAGGAGATGCTCTCCCATGACTGGTTCTCGGTAAGGGTTTCAGTCATGGACACAGAGCTCTTTTTCTCAGCTGCCTTTGATCAGGAAATCCCTGTGAAGGCTGTGATAAAGGTTCCTGTCACTGCTGCTCCAGAAGCTGCTGAGGCTCCACAGAGGTTCATGATTCAAAAGTCCCAAGATGCCCTTCACTGGTCCCAGAGGTCCCTCACACTGAAGCTCCAAAGGTTCCTTCCACGGGCGACCAGGTCCCAAAGAAATCAGGGCGGCTCCAGAAATCAATGTGAATGCTGCCCTAAATGCTGCTGCTCCAGGACCTGCTGAGGTCAGAGAGGTCAGAGTCACAGGCACCACAGATGTCACTCGACAGGGTTCCTTATAAGAGCCACCCTGGTCTCAGAGTTGAAGGTCCCGGGTTTGAATGTTCCTGCTGCTGCTGCTGCCCCATAACCCACTATGGTTCCAGAGCTCTGTGTCATGGCAGCTCCAGTTGTAAAGTTTCCCAGAGGTTCCTGACATGATCGACCCTGATGCCCATCATGTCCACCACAAAAGGTTTCTCTCATGATGGGAACGAACACCAAAGAAGTGCGGCCCAGTGTTTGCAGTCGTAACCTCAGCCAGAGCTGCTGTCCAAGACTGCTTCAGTCCCAGAGCTCCTCTCTCAACCTCCCTGGTCCCAGAGGTTCCTGCTAAAGCCGCTCTGGTCCAAGAGGATCCTCTCACAGGCCCCAGTGTTTCCTGTCACTGCTGGGATTCCTCCATAAAGATATTACACCTTTATACCTCATTAAAAAGACTGTGATTGTGAAAATTCACAAAAATGTGTTTTAATGAGAAAACATAATAATCTGGAAATAACCATTCCTATGTTTCAGTTCTAGAGAGGTTAAGCCTCTCATTTTAGCAGTATTTATTTATCACTTTGAATGTTAATTTGAATTTTAAACTCACCAGGCAAGTATTACCATGTAAGTAACATCTCAAAAAGGAGTTACACTATGCTTTAAGTCCTGTAACAGTTACATAACCGATGGTTTGGCTAGATAAGACCCTTATTCCTCGTCTGGGATCCTGTAGAGCCCTTTGAAGCTGCACTGAAACTACAAATTGGACCTTCAGCCCGTTGGCCACCATTGAAGTCCATTATATGGAGAAAAATCCTGGAATGTTTTCCTCAAAAATCTTAATTTCTTTGTGACTGAAGAAACACATTGCTGTCATGACAACTCTCGGAGGGATTGGCATGGTACTGAGCCATCTAGAGTTTCATGCCAGAACTCTGTATGAACATCTTGGATGACATGGGGGTGAGTAAATTATCAGGAAGTTTTTATTCTGGAAGTGAACTAATCCTTTAAGTGTGTTAAGTTTATTCTCATTAAGTACACTACTGGGACATTTTATTTCATTAAACGTATATAACCTTTAAGTACAGTTATTTTAAAATATACTTTTAAGATTTGAAGTAAACCATAAGTGCACATTCAGTACAGAGCACAACTATATTTAATACAATTTATCTAATACAGCATATATTGTAAAGTCACATTTAATTATACAGCGTTTTAAACCATACAGATTGTGTCAAAGCAGCTTTAAAGTGTCAAACAGGAAAATAGTTTGTCAATAATGCAAGAGGACAATAACAAACAGTAAATTTTTCAGTTAAAGTCAGTTTATTGATGATTCAGTGGTGTCATCATGCAGTTCCTCTCTCTTCCAATAGTGTCTGTGTAATCAGTCAAGCGTCCCCTTCCAATAGTGTCTGTGCAATCAGTCAAGCATCCCTAACTAAACAAGCCAAAGGCGACAGCGGCAAGGAACCAAAACTCCATCGGTGACAGAAATGGAGAAAAAACATTGGGAGAAACCAGGCTCAGTCGGGGGGCCAAAACTGGCCAGACGAAACCAGCATGGCATGGTTTAATTCCAGCCTGCAACACAAGTGCAGAGGACTTGTCTGGTTCTTGTGGTCTTGTGCCGATGGTCGTCGAGGTGATGAGGTCTTCGCAGGGGATCTGTCTCTGGGGTGCATTCAGTCGGTCTCCACTGACATTCAGTGCTGTAGAGGTCGTCTCTAGGTGCTGATCTACCATCTGGTCTGGATACGGACTGGATCCGTAAGGCTACGGTGACCTCGGAAAAAGAATAAAACAAACTAATATAACCGTAGATGCCATTCTTCTTACGATGTATAGTACATCGGATATTATGGGAAGTGTTCCCAGTTCCAGTTGACCTAATTAATGCAGCCTAACAATCTTTCTGAACCCCACAGATTTGAATTATAGAAATGTGACAGTGTATTATGTGTATGCCAGGTTAAAGAGATGGGTCTTTAATCTAGATTTAAAGGGGTCAATTTTCCCTTTCTCTTTAGAGTGTTACAAGCTCTTGGTGCATAAAGAAGATTGGTTTTATGTTTACGCGGCGCGATACGCAACGCGTAAAAAGACAGTATGTCATTATAATCAGTAATTATGTCCCCACTGGATGCAACAAATGCCTCGTTTGTAATGGGTTTTATTGGTTTTGTCTCGTCCAGCTGGGAGACAGCATCACAGTATGGTAAGAGGCGTAACATTTCCGTCACACGTTTGAGGCGTTCGGCCAATCACAACGCACTGGGTAGCTGGCCAATCAGAGCACACCTCACTTTTCAGAACGATGAGCTTTGTAAAAATCGACGCGTTTCAGAAAGGCAGGGCATAGAGAAGAAACAATAATGTACATTATATGGAAAATAATGTGTTTTTGTACCTTAAACAGCATAAACACATTGCATTACACCAAATACACAAAATAATGTTCTTTTTAGCAACGTCATAGGACCCCTTTAAGAGTGTGTCTGCCTCCTGAACAACACTAGGTAGATTGTTCCAGAGTTTGGGCGCTAAATAGGAAAAGGATCAGTTGATTTGATTGTCTGTTGATTGTAACAGATAAGGTTGGAGTACATTAAAATGTCTAGTCCAGTCAGAAAGTTTCTAAATATTGCCATACACACATATCTACGTGTTTCTATAATCATTGCCTTCATCCTGTTGCTTTTGTATTATTACTGTTGTTGCAAGTGTGAGCAGCTGAACTGAAGTGATCTGTGTGTTCATGCAATGACAGTCTCAAAGAAACAGGCAACACGAAACAATCAAGGACAATTTTATTGGTACCACATGAAATTCAAAGAGCTGTAGGATGAAGTTCTTTCTTCTTGCTTTACATTTTAGTAAAAACAATATGGGAGTAGTCTCCTTGGCCCAATTATTTATGAAATGTATTCAAAACAAGAAAGAACTGGCAAAATCAGATATTAATACTTAAGGCTGTTCTGAGTTGCATAAAACACTTCAGATGTCATCCCTGAGTCCTCATCTCCCTGTTATCACGAGTCCGTATACTTGTTTTGAGCTGCTCATTACTGTGTTTTCTTCTTTTCCATCCCTTTGACTTGTCCCTCCAGTCTGCTCATTCGGCTTTCCAGACTGGCTCCTGTCCCACCGCCGCTGCTCGTAGCGACCCCAAACACAGCACAGATGAGCATTAGTAAAGTCAGTCTCATTGTAGTGACTTCACTGGAGGCAGTGGGGTCACTGATGATCCGCACAAACAGCCACAGCACTACAACCGCTTTAATCAGCCAAAACACTCGCCTTACAAGCATTACGGTGACTCGCAGCAACAAGGACAGGAGCCAGTAAGCGATCAGAGCCAGCAAAGCCCACTTGGTCACAGCAGACACGCCTTCAGCAGTGAAATGAGGCACTGATACTGTCTCTTTGAATAAGACAAACAGAAAGAAAAAAAAGAACAGATGTTAATTGGGTGAAGCATTTTCAGAAGAAAATGTAAGTGGTGATTTCCTGTCCAAATTGGGCATCATGTTGTCAGAATTAACTTGACAATTTTCATCACTGTTGTGTATGTCGCTATTTTTCCATTTGCTACAGCAGGTATTTTTTTGTCAGACGAATTTCTTGGTCACAAACCCCATGCAGTTCCCTCACAAACTACCATGAGTTCACAAAACCCAGTTTGGGAAACCCTTTGCTACGCTTTTGAGTGGTAGCTAGGATGTTTGGTTGTTTGCAAGGGTGTTGCTATATGGTTGTTGCTAAAAAGTATTCTGGGTGGTTGCTAGAGCATTAGTGCTAAATTGCTAAGGTATTCTGGGTGATTGTCGCAGCAGATGGTTGCTTGCATAGGAGGAGGGTGAACCAGCTGAAGGGTACGGCTTAAATTAGCCTAATGTTAGTGTAATCTATTAACTATGCACATCATAAACTCGTCTTTTAAGGCAAGTACCAGATATGGGGGTCGTGTCATCAAATATTTTAATAAAACTGAATTTGTGATCAATTAAAAAAAAAAAACATTGTAAGTTACTAATTATAATGCTTTCGTTTCCACTGTTATTCAAACGGCAAATAAATTATATCTGGCGTTTCAGCGATGACTAATCTGAATGCCTCTGATTGGCCATTGCATTCATAATCTCAACAGAATCTTGTGTGATTGGTTATAATGTGCAACGCTGTACAAATCCGTAAAAAAAACTTGATGCAACATGATCTAAAATTAATGCCAAAATCGACACTTTTCATTTCGATTTTCACTTAATTCATGACAGCTGTAATACATCTAGTTTAATTATGCAAGGACATTTTTGTCCAATTTGGTGTCATTTTTGCCCCAAGTCCCCGTTCATTTCTGACCCGTGGCCAGGGCAAGGTTAAGACTTGCCCAGCCTTACACACACTCCGCCTATGTGTACTTGGTTTCAAAGTGGTTGTTAGGGTGTTCAGGTGGTTGCTAGGGCATGTTGTTTAGTTGCTAGGTGGTTGACTAGGCAGTTTATACAGGTATCTGGTTGATGTTCTGGTGGTGCTAAGAAGTTGTGCCAGTGCCAGTGCAAGTATTGCATTTTTTTTTTCTTTTTTGCCTCGTCTTTTCATCTGTTGGGCGAAAATCATAGGTCTCATCACTTATAGGTGTAGTTCACCCAAAAATGAAAATTACCCCATGATTTACTCACCCTCAAGCCATCCTAGGTGTATATGACTTTCTTCTTTCAGAATAATACAATCGGAGTTATATTAAAGTTAGTGTAGGCTATTTCAGAAAGGCTAGCAATAGCAAGCAAGCTTTGAAAGCAAGATCCCACCTTCCCTGCATAATCACTCTGCAAAGCCATGCCTCCTCCAAAACACATGAACGCATGACGCTTTATAATGGCAGTGATAAAGCGTCATGGCAGAGCATTGAAGTCAACTAGTCGATTAGTCGGTGCAACCCCTAGTGAGTAGTGGTCCAGATTTTGAAGCAAAATAAAGTGCATCCATCCATCATAAAAAGTACTCCACACGGCTCCGGGAGGTTAATGAAGGCCTGTGATGTTTTAACGTGCTGTGAATGTGAAACAACAATAATCTTAAACCGCTGGCAATCTTTGCGTGTTAAGAGGTTAGACATCCAAAACGAGGATTTGTAAAGGAAAATATCAGAGGATTTTGATATAAGCCAAGAGGAGACTGGTTTTCCTTTGCTGTAAACAAAACTTGGTTCTTGCGAGACCAGCATGTTCTCACCGGAGCTTATGCCTATGAGCACACATACGACAGTTAGCGGAATCTAGAGATTACGGTTTATAAAGTTTTAAATATGGATATTATTCTTACGAAAACGCATCTATTCACTTCAGAAGGCCTTTATTAACCCCCCGGAGCCGTGTGGAGCACTTTTTATGATGAATGGATGCACTTTATTTTGCTTCAAAATCTCGACCCCCACATTCACTGCCATTATAAAGATTGGAAGAGCCAGGACATTTTTTAATATAACTCCGATTGTATTCGTCTGAAAGAAGAAAGTCATATACACTTAGAAAGGCTTGAGGGTGAGTAAATCATTGGGTAATTTTCATTTTTTGGTGAACTATCCCTTTAAGGCTACAGTACTTTAAAAATCTAAGTATTGGGTTTCAACATGCTCGAATATTTAATGATAGAAATGTTACAGAAAAAAAAAACACTTTAAATTGGTTTAAATGTTGACATCTTACTAAGATGCCATTTTATAGATAGTTTATGCTTTTTATTATGTACATAAATGGACCATTGTGAACATACTTAGACAGTATTGAACATTAGATATATAGAATATTAGATATTGAACCCTGTTAAATATCACTTTTAAAAACATCAGCTGTAAAAATACAAAAAAAATTAAGTGATTCCGACGATATAATTTATATGTGTTGTTATTGTTATAGCTGTGGTGGGAACTTCCCTAATCTCATAGTTTAAAACGATTATTAAAACTATAGTTATATTTCTCATCACTGGTATGAAGAGGCCTTTAGAGTTGGGGTTTAGGAATGACTAATATACTGATGAGTTGGACAAATGTTCTGTATATAGGCCCATATGTTTCTGAGATTTCTCCTCATTTTCTCCTAATACTGTCATTTGAGCATTCCACACATACTAAGCCACAGTCATTTATATCAGCATTACGAGGCCCAGGGGCTGCAGTAACACACTTTCTGTTTTAGTACTCAGCAGAGTAATGAGCTTGCCAGAAAATGGGAACCCTTCATGTGGCTTATATTTTAATTCATTACACTGCATTAATCTTTGATATATATACGCATATTTAAGTTAAACAAATTTTTTTTTAAATATTTAGATTTAGATCTAACCCGAGAGACAACCTTTACTCACCGTTCACTCCAGTAGCTCTGAGAATCTCAGATACATACACAGCAATGACATTCAGTCCACTGGCAGCTCCTTCAGCAACCAACTGCAGCAGCATTTCGACAAACTAAAGAAAAAAAAACAAGGAGAAAAAAAAGTGATTTGACTCCAGAACGGGTCTGTGTAGTGCAGATTTGCTGTTTTTCTTACAGAGGGCGGCCTATATCTAAACTCAACTCATAGATCTCTGGCCATAGCTGATCATTAACCAATACTGACTGACAAGAGTGACACAACACACATGATTTAATTAAAGCAATGTTTTGGGTTCAATGCAAATTCTATAGACAGCGTATGTGTGACATGCTGTTGGTTGCAAAAATCACATTTTCATAAATGCACTAACAATGTATATATTTATGGGGCACAACACTGTAACAACAGTAGAGGCACAGTAAGCTATTGAGTAAGCAGATGGTCGCAGTTCTGTTCTGATGGAATCACAGACAGCAAGAAAAACACTGCACATGACAAAACGCAACTATATGATCCTACATAGTTAGCAAAACAAAAATATAGGTATATCAGTTTTTAAAAGGGTGGAATGAACATTTCCTGTATCTTTTGACTGAAGAAAAAGTTAAACTTTTTTCCAAATATACTTCACAACTAATATTTTTCTGATAAATAATACTTTTTTTATTATAACTACTTAAGACGGTTTTCCTTTCAAAATGTTTATTCTTTTCATTTTCATTCTGATCTCAGGACATTTGTACCACCCTGGCATTTTTTTTCCCTTTATACTACCCAAAAAAGTATAATAATTTAACTAAAAAATTATATAATCAAATATGTGTGTTTGAAGTCATTGTGTACAAATTGCACTTTTAATGTATTTTTTAAATAAATGAATAGATCCGGACAAAATGAGCGTCATGTCACTAACTCTAATACAATATTTGGCTCATAGTTTATTACACGTGTTAGGCTGGTAAATCACATTTTCATTGACACTTTTACATTTAAAGTAGTTACACTTCAATGAATCATTTTGAATTTTACTGGGTATATGCATTTCCTTGTAATAATAGTAAGTTTTAATGTGGTACTTCATTGTTCATCTCTTGATTTTTAATTAAAAATCTCCGTCCTGAAGCAAATCAATTTAGAACAACAATTTGGACAACTTCACAGCTCAAATAACATTTTTTGTATGGAACAACAATGTAAGAATTTCAAGAGACATGAGCTGTGCATTTCTGGTTTTAAACCTTCCAGGATGTCCACTGTAAGGGCATAAAATATGATTTTTACATATGGAGGGATGAGTTGAAATGACTTTCTGAAAAAAGCAAGTCAGATACACACTTGTACTGAACCTGGAACATTGTTTTTAAGGGGTGAGAACACTTCAGAAGACTTCTGTTCAAAATTAATTTGTGAACATTCAAACAAAGGGCGCAAACTTACAGGTTTGGGATCCAGTTCGATAGGCTATAATCTTTAACAGTATTTGTGTAAGAACACCTCACAATACAAATAGAGCTCTGTGTGTGTGTGTGTGTGTGTGTGTGTGTGCGCGTGTGTGTG